AAATATTATTAATGTATTTTATGTATTGTTAAGTTCTGTATTCATAATAAAATGATTGAAATTTAAATGAATTTTACTATAAAATAATATATAATAGTGATACATCTAACACACTATATTATATTTTATTAAAATACATGATACCTACTCAAAAATTAATTTAAAGAATAATAATATTTTAGACTTATAATATTTTACATAATAATAAAATCAACAAATGGATTAAAAAAAAACAACTTATAGCTTTTGAGCCATTTGTTTGTTAGTATGTACAAGATTACAGCTCATAATATGTAAAATGAACCAATTTTCTAAATTAATTAAATCATTAAGACTTAGTATAAAACATTTTATGATGTCTTTATAAGTTTATAATAAATTAAAAATTGTTTTTAATTGAATAATTAATTAATGCCTCTTCAATTTTGTTTAGGAATTATTGCAGTAATATTGATAGTTGTTTCAATCATTTGTTTTATGTTAAACAAAAAATATTTCATCTGTTATTGTGGCAGAAATTATCAAAAATGTACGTACAAAAAAATCATCAATAACTAATATTTATTTTAATAGTGTTGTATTTATATTTAATGATAATAGAATGCTTATTTTTTTATATATTACATTATTAGTATTTTAATTATTTAATTGTTGTTATTGGTAGTTACACAGTCAAATAATTGACTTATCTAAATACTGGTGTGCTATATATTTTATTGATATGTAATTTTCTTTAAATATGAAATAAAATTATCAAAAAACTCAAAAATTTAATAAAATATATTTAATGCCGAGTTTAGGCTTAACTATAACTTAATTTTTTTTTTCATTTTTTTCTACTGACAAGTTTTAAACAATAATTATTTTTATAAATTGTTATCTTTTAATTAATTAATATAATAAAAAGGTACAATATTATCAATAAAAGGTACATAAAAATTATATATTATTTAAAATAATGATAACTGACAATATAAGTTTATTGTAAGTGCATATCATAATAAGAGAACAGATTTATATCCAAATGTTTGTTTGTATTGTAATAAGCTAATAGAAATTTGTTAAGAATTTTCCCCGATTTAAATAACACTAATTGTATTTTATATATTATATTCCATATTTCAATATTTTTACCTTATTTTGTATAATATTTGTAATTTAACAGTCTATATTTTTATTTATAGTGCACAATTTATTTCATCTTACATTTTCCCATCTACAGCTACATATATTTATCATTTATACTTATGTTTTACATCATTTTAATTGAAATTTTAAGTACATATTTTGTAGCATTTTATAGATTTTTAGAAACATATTTTGAGGATTTTTTGTGCTTATAAATCTGTTCCCTAATTACAATATAATATACATTATATAATATAAACAATAATAAAAACAATTTTTTATTTATGTAAATTCTATAAATTATCATTATTATTACTAATTTTACACATAGAGAGTTAGATAAAGTAAGAAAATAAATTAACATTAMAATTTTGTTTTGTAAAATAAAAGTAAAAACAAAAAGTCTTAACTAAGGCTCCTCAGTATTAATCATCACAACTAATATTTTATGTTATAGATTTCCCTAAAAACTGATTATTATTTAAGTATATTGTTAATAAATTGATTTACATTACTATTATTGTTATTGTTTATTTTATGTTTTTCATTTCAGTTTAAATGGCATGGACTGAAATTTTTTTTATGCATCACTTCACAACAAATTTACTAAATATGTATTGAAGAAAATATTTTATATATTATAAGCATGCTCAATATTTTAATGTAACTAAATGGCTTAGTATGTTTCAACATTCTACGATAACTGACGTTATTCGTTGCCCTTACAAATGGGTGTTAAAAATGTTGTTCTAGATTATAACTTTAAAATTATGTTTGATAATATATTATAGTATGATTACTGTGTTATAGTAGTTAGACTGTAGTGTTTGTTTTAGTATTTTAATAGAAATATAGTCCCCGTATTATGAAATATGACTGAGCCAGTGTATCAATTCTAGAATTAGAATCTTATTTAATAAAACTTAGAAAAACTATGAATTGTTTATTTTTATTTTAATATCCTAAGTAGTTATAAATCTAGTTTTCAACATTATAAACTATGAAATACTAAAATATGAACAATATAAATAATTATTTTAGGTAGGTACTTCATGAAATGAAATAAAACTATTGTATGTTGTTGACGTATTTCATGGGTGATTAAGATGTTACATTAATTTACTTTGAATTTTCTAAGTTTGACAGTAAATTAATTAAATATTAATTTCTATGGAGGTAACTTGATAATTACATCTTTAGGTAAATATTTATTTATATAGATGATTTTAAGCTAAATATGAACAAGTATTATTTAGTTGTAAATGTTATCAATAAATGATAAAGATTTATATTATTTTATGCAAGGTAAGTGACTAATTGATTATTAGTTATTGATTGTTATTATTTGACTCAATTAGGTACTTAAAAAAAACTGAAACAACCAAATATTTATGCCCTCTCAAAATAACAATACACCTACTTTCATTACTTAAAGTCGCTATAGGAAGTTTTTATTAATAAATGTTGGTAAATTTACAAAAAAATGTGACAGTGAGTTCCCATGCATTATTATTTAACTGATTATGAATATGTATTTGTCAATTTTTAGTTTTAACCCTT